AGCCTAAATTATAAAATTATTGATGGCTGAATTCCATTTAGCTGATCCAGAGTCCTGATATTGTGCATGCTGTCTCACTGTCAAGACTTACAGTTGAATACAACTGAGCCATCATTAATGTGCTTTTCCCAAAGGTCAAAATAAAAAAATACATTTCATATATGTACATATATGTCCCATATATGTACCACTTGTGTGGTTAAGATTAGATACAATTATTAAGGGGGAGTGTTGAAAAACTATAATGCAATAATAATACAAAAATCAAAATGTTAAATATCTGATAGGTGAAAATAGGCATGGTCTTCAAGACCAAAGAAAGTGATTCTAGAAAATGTGATTTTGCTTCAGTTTACTCGATAGTGAGCAGTCAATTGACATTTCAGCCACATTCGACCCTCAGCCTTCCGTGGGTTTTGTTGCTGAACAATTTACACTGTAAGCCCCACCCTCCTTGGTTACTGTTGCAAGGCCTGGTTAGCTTTCCAGTCTCTCATTGCATATATAGTTTACAATAACAACAGCAGCAGAATTACCTGTCAAAATGACTTTGTCAGGTGTAATATTTCTGTGATAGCATTGGAACTGGGCCAGATGCGGTCACGAAACTTTACAGATGTGTAGTTGAGATTAAAATGAAGGTAGTTCAAACATATGGGTGGGCGGACAGCAACAAACATGATGCCTTTTCTAACCTGCAACCTCAAAAATAATGTAATTAATTATATTGTCTTTGTCTTTGAAAGTAACACATGGCGACCACTGTTAGCTAGGCATGCATGCTACCATCTGATATGGTTAGAGGAGATGGACGCAGTTTAATCCATTCCTTATTGTTCTTTTTTCTGTTGGTTTTATAAAGGCTTAAAAAAGACACCACAATCCAAACTCTTTAAATACCATGTATCACTCTTATTAGAGCCCCATGCACATGGCTTTATGAATCCAAAGTTGGGCAGGCCATACCTAGTTATGATTGCTATGACTGGTTGATTGCTGTTCAATGGCAGGGTTTGGGTCAATTCTTAATATAGCTCCCTCCAACTTCAACCTAACTAGAGATCTAATCAGCCAACGTGATCAACAACACCTTAAAAACACATTACTGACTTTTGAAATGCTAAAGAACAGTGGATGAATTGATACTGAGACATATTAATCTTATCCACTAAACAAGACATAGATTGCTAACATGAAACTCACACGCACACACTTTCACACACATACATGAATGCATGAATAGTGACAGGTGCACAAACACATTAATCACTCCATGGCCGAAAAAGATCTGCTGGGCTTACAGTGCCAGAGACTGAAGAGATCGGTAGTGACAGACGATGTGCGTGTGTGTCTGTGTCTGTGTGTGTGTGTGTGTGTG